CTGCCTCATTTGAATACAATGTGGATGCCTGAGGTGTTTATGGGCTTCCATTGTGGTCAACCGGCCCTCGTACATATACGTATATGTATTTCCGCCCATGTTTGGCAGATACCTACAACCCCGGCATATGTAGCCATGAGACGCCATTCTACAATTCAATTGCTACCTTACTGCTGGTGAACCCTTAAATACAACCGTTACAACACCACTGATGAAAACTTGAAAGCATTTCGTTACCAAACCGCTGATGAACGCTTCAACACAGTCGCTACAGTAACCCTACCAACGCTTGAGGATATTCGTTACAACGCCACTGATAATCGCTTGAGGACATCTGCATGCCACTACTGATGAAATCTTGAAGACAGCTGTCACAAGAGCAACTCCACTTCACTCCGCTTGAAGATATGTGCTGCTAAACTGTTAATGACTGGTCGAATACAGCTCATACAAAACCACTGATTCGACACTGATGAGGAGCGTTGAATTGTTATCACCCAACAACGCCTGGAAATGCATGAAGATAAACTGCCCGAAACCACTCTTACGAATTCTTGAAGATAACAGCTGCAACACCGTTGATGAAAATTCCCTACAGAACTGCATCCGCTGTAAGATTCCAAAGGCACTAGAAGGCAACAGTTAATAAACCACTTAGGAACGGTTGGATACAAGCTAAGCGCATTGACATTATTGTTGATTTGCTGTTAATGAACAGTCTAAGGCAACCGTTTGAAAACATTGCCCATGAACAGTTAAAGACCATCGCTATAATGCTGATGAATGCTTCACGATAGTTGCCACAAAACCACTGTCGCTTGAAAAACAGCTTCTACCACCGCTTAGGAATGCCCTTAGCTTTAGGTAACTGCCTCATCACCGCTAAAGGAACCTACTTATACGGCGACGAGACAGCTAAGAAAAAAATGGAGATATTCTCTAGTAAAACTGCTGTCAAACTGTTGTAGAACCCTAACGTGACACTTTTTAGTAGGTTGCAATACTTCCGTGAGTCTGCACTTGCCGCCGACCAGAATCCTCTAAGGTCGTCATGATTATATTGGATTTTCACTAACTAGATTATGACGAAGAAAACGATTAAGCTTTGAGAAGAAGTAGAGTTTTTGAGAACGGAATCTTGTCAAAATAAATATCGATAAAGTTTGCAGATGGTATTTATGATTATATTATTGTTAAATGCTATAGAGATAGACCAATTGACTAAATTTGATTTAGAATTGGATATGTATTTGTGTTTCAATTTTTCTGTTTGCTAGATTTTGTTTTCTTTAACCCTCTTTGTAACCGTCATTCAGTAACAAGTTAATCATCACGGCCCTCAGGGGAATGTGGAAAGGGCGTGGATGCCCTCATCGCACCCTCCCCCCCAGTCCTGTCCATACATGTCTACACTGACCCTGAAGATCAAATGAAACGCTCTTTATATTGGACCCAGTTTAAGCCTTCGGAGCTGACCTCTATATTCATAGGAAAGAAGTCACTTAAAGCTGATACACAAAGTGGAACAGAATTACTTCTGAGGGCAGCATTGAAATTACTTTAAGAATATAAACACTTGCTTCTGATCCTTGTTGTGGAGGAAAACTTGATGTTACATGTATTTACTATCCTCTAAGAGATTCAAAAACATTGCGGGTGTTTCCGTGTGCATCATTATCATTGCATATTAATTATTCTTGCTGGTTCTGGTAAACAGCAAAAGCCTTGGTCAAATTAAGCTCTGGTATTTTCGGAAATTATCTTAAGTTATATAATTAATCATTTCAAGTGTGCACTCGAGGCTAAGTAAAAGCCTTGGTCAAATTAAGCTCTGGTATTTTCGGAAATTATCTTAAGTTATATAATTAATCATTTCAAGTGTGCACACTCCCTTTAATCGAGGCCAAGTGAAAGAAAATCGTTTTTGGTCAGCTTATTACGAAAACCCTTTTAATGGCTCGCTGTACAAGAGCAAAAAAATGACATAAGGATAATCCTGATAAATCTACATTTCCGTAGATCAGCCATTATGAAATCGGAAAATGTTTTAAAGTTAAAGGAAAAACTCATAGCAAGTTCATTTTTGCGTGAGGCTCAAATTAAAAAGCACCATACGGACAGTGCAAGTCCTTAATTTTTTTGTAATCTATGTAATTCTGGTTAACAGTGGAGTAAATAAAGTAATTAGGTAATTTGGTATTATTAACCGATTTGTTAACGTGAATTGGGCATCGTAATTAGTTTCAAAGCCGCGGTTTCAAGCGTTAGCCCTTCGTCAGAGCAAATCGCCAATTTACGTTATCAAATCAGTTGATAGTTCCAAATTATCCTATTATACTCTTCCACCGACGTAGCACCAGAGTTTCTTTAGAAACTTACTCCCTTTATAAATAGATGATTGATTTGTTAATTTGTTCCTAGGGACCTGTCCAAGAACGAGTTGCAGAAGTTGCCAGCAGGGGCCTTTAGTAACAACACAAGGCTAGAATATCTGTAAGGAGGACGTTTCTTTAGCTTACGAACATTCATTAATGATTTTTTGACCATGCGCCGATGTATAGAGATATGATATGGGCTTTCGCATCAGACTGAGTTGGAATCTAAACATCCTGTCAAAAAATATAAAATAATACAATATTTCTTAAATTGGCAACTTGTCTTTTGCAACTTAGTCCACTTACATTACATATTTATCTGGAGTCTCCGGTAAAAAACTTATCTTCATGCTTGGGGGACATAAGTGTACCATTGCAACTAGATAACAAAACGTCGTTTATCATGGTTAGATCTAGTTATGAAATTAATTCAAACAATACAATTCGATGATGCTCACTTTGAGTCGCTTATTCCTTCAACATAACGACATAACTGGTAAATAATCTTCCCTGTTCAACCGCCTTTAACCCAGTGCGTCGATAATAATATTTCATATTCCTAGGGCGGTGTGATTTTACCAAGGAATGTTTTTGCTTTAAAACATGCGTTATCCATTAGGATCATGGCGTGCCTGTGACATAACAGTTTGGATTCCGGTTACAAGCTTTTATTTTGGTTTTGGAAACTTTTTTAGTTCTATATTAGACAGCTTATTCATGCGTTGAGCACTGTCATAGAACTTTCCCCGCAAAAGCTGTCAACTTTACGAATATCCTTTAGTTTCAAAGCTTAAACTTAAACAGAGCTCTGGAGATGGTCTAAGTGGTAGTCTCGGGGTGGGATTTATTTGAAACGTTAACGTCTCTAGGACAACCTCGGCCGAATTGAATTGAAGGAACATGGTTTATCTATACTCCTCCTTATAAAAAAACGTTACAAAGTCAAATTTCCGCTCTCTCAATTGCAAGCACGTCAGCGAAGCAATCATGTTTCCTGGGATTAGCTTGTAGAAGATTTAAGTCATTCGATTTTTTCTTGATTAAACTCTATTTTTCTTATCTTGATTTTGCTTATCAAATGGATGACGCATGGGGGAGAGTTAAAAAAGTTCATTCTTCGCACCGCCGTCCATTGGGCAAAATAAGTTTTTCGATCCACTCTGCGCTTGAAAAACACACTCCTTCGCGCAGGTGACGCTCGAGCTTAGCTTCAAAATAACCTCTTAGTTCGGCTTCATCAACATTCAAAATTCAAACACTTTTTTCAATGAGCCAAATGTTTTTCGACCCATTCCTCGTCTTTTTATAATCACGCTCTTTCAAACTGTTTACGCATGCGCCAAGCGATAAACTCTTTCTGCGACTTTATCGACATTTTTGACCCGTTCAGCATCTTTACAATCGCACCTTATTTGTGCAGTTTTCTCTCGAATTGCCCATGAAATTCTTTCTGTGACCTCTTTCAGCCCAAAACGGCTTAGAAAACCTTCAAAATCACAAACATTCGCGCTCTGGTTGCGAGAACCAAACAGTTACCCTCTTTACAACTTCATAACCATTCCATATTCAAAAACTTCCGCGCCATTTTCGATTGACCTGAAGTAATGTTTCAATCCTTTTCGCGTCCTTTTGAAAATGACACTTAATGCACTGACGTTTCGCAAGCTATACGAGAAACCCTCTTTGACATTATCAACATTCAAAGTTAAAAAACATGGCAAGCCCAAACATTTTCCGACTCATTCCTCGCCTTTTTGAGAATCACACTTTTTGCGCTTTTGCCTCCTGTACAAGAGATTATATTTTTTTTCGTTCCCGTACCAGCCGTAAAACTACCTCTGCTGCCTGCCTTGTAGGTCTTTTTTTTTCTCTTTTTTTTTTCAACTTAAGGTAGACGAAAAAGAAAGTTGTCTTAACAACCTAAATTGCGAAAACAGCGCGACGCTTTTGCAGCGGTAATCAATCACCTCTCTCTTCCCCGACCGCGTCGCTTTGGTCTTTCAATCTCTGACAAATTTCATGATGGATGGATGTCATTCAATAGAAAATTAGTGCTCGTGGCTCAAATGAAAATTCAGTTAATGTTTAGTGTGTTAATAAATCTATGCTGAGAGTTCTGAAAGAATTTCAGATTACATTCATGTGCTAATATCAACGTTACTCTTCATTGTTTCGACTGAAAGATTCTCTCTGGTCACTTTTCGTTTCAATAAACTATTCGGTCTTATCACCAGCAAGATTAAAGGAATATAACAACAGGTGATTTAAAATGAGTCCTCCATTCTTTCAATATGCGAGTTTTAATCATCGACAAGCAATTAATCTGATCAAAGTTTTCGCCATCTTTTAAAATTTGTGTCACTGCTTAGAAAACCAGATGGTGTGCCTTGAAATGTCGGTAAATTAATTGAACGATGTTATTTTGCATCAGAATCTATCAAGGATAGAGTAACTTGATCTAATTATCCACTAATGCGAGGTAAATGCAAACGTTATTATTATTTTGAAAAAGCATCTGGTGCGTTCAAGATGTAGGAAAACACACGTCGCAGACAGCAGAGTTCACGCTTCTTTAAAATGACTTATTTATTCCAGAAACTTGTCCAATAACCGGTTACAGCATTTAACGCGAGGAGTGTTCGCTGGCATCAAGATTCCCTACGAGGGGCTGTTGACGCTGTAAGTAAGACTCCTATACTGCAAATCAACGTTAATGAAAAGCAAAACAAAAAATCGGAAATCAATAAATTGAAATTGAATTTGGTTAACTATGGAGCCAAACATCCAAAAGCTCGAGCCACCACTTTCAAACCGTCCATAACTGCTTAATAAGATCACACAAAGCCTCTTGTTTCACAAAGTTTGTATTACTGCTAACGGTAACGAAATAGTTTTTCCGCCGTATTGTTACTTTTTGATCAGTAGAAAACATTTAGCCCAAGGGTTCCTTAAAGTAACCGTTGAAATTTGTGTCCAGAGGGGTTGAAAGGATGCATCTTTTTTTAAGATGATTTCAAATATTTCGTTAAGTTTATCAATAAGCGAGTTCGATTCAATTTAATAAATGAAACCGAATAACTAATGAATCTATTATGATCACGAGCGACGTTAATCCTAAAGAGACATTTCAAATCGGTAAACAGCTTCAGCACATAAAGTTTATTTTAACAATCTGTTTATTACTTCTTCAAATTAGATTTTCATTCCAGCCAAGTAATCGAAATATTATGTGTCTTATGGTTTTGAAATCATTATCTCTACTCGGATTTGCAGATAGTATCAACCTCAGAAAATGCTGAATAAACAATGCTATTCGGCCTTAGAATAAAGGAATATTAGTAAGGCCAAGTTAACTTTTCAGTGAGATATATCCGATAATGTTAAAAATAGTTGCACATTATTTAAATCGTACCGAGAGTTTTTTTAATTATATACTTTGTCATGCACCATGCAGATATTCCTTTAAATCTGGATTATAATTCATATAAATTACAACGGACTGACTCAACATTATTCTTTAACACGAGGTTGCTTTTGAGAAAGAGCCATCGTGACTTATATTCGGTCGCATCGAACACTTGATTTTTTTTTTTTTTAAATACGTGAATCAACCAGCACGTTGTATCAAGGGTATCAAGGTTTCTTTCAAACCGATAGAAATTTTTTGCAAAATGACGCGTACTAACGATTCCAATCGACAGAACATGTTACTAGTGGAGCTATTTATTTCTCCTCCTCGGTGGATAGCATTCATACATGAGCGAAGCAACACTTACCCCTGGAATATCCTATTAACAAAGCTACTCCTTAACATTGACGAGACTGGGGTATTTTAAAGATGATAATGATAATAATAATAATAATAATAATAATAATAGTAATAAGTCTAGATGCGCAAATTCCATGAAATTTTCAAATGTGCATCACAAGAGTTAAAATATTACAATCAACTAAAGCTATGAAGTGAAGGGAATGTGAATGAAAGGTTACCACAAAGAGTAAGGTATCCAATTTTCCCCTTTTGTGGTGTCCTAATAATGAGGTATTCGGTCTTATTGTTGTTTAGTTTAGGATAATCGTTCAACATCCATGAATGGATGTCCCTAACGCAGTGTTCGATACTTTTCATCGTAAGAAATGCGTTCATATCAAATGATCGCAGCTTTCTAAACGCGTTTAATGAAACATGGTTAACTTTAAGGGTGGTCGAGTTGTTTTCAGTCTGAATGGCAGTGTCAGATTAACCGAAAACAGGATGTGAGGCATACATTAACAGCTGCTTAAATTATCTGAGTTCCGCGTAATTAAAAGATCCAGTACATGGCCCAATTCACAAGGCCGCTGTGTCATTGTGATCATCAACACAGATATCGAAATCATCAGTTAAGGAAAGATATCACTGATGTCACTCTCGCGTGACACTTTCGCGTTAGTCACTATTACGTTACGACGTCGTGATTGACCTTTGTGGTTTTATTGTCTTCTCAAACCATTGCTACGTTTTGATAAATAAACCAAGTTGAAGGTTTTATTTTTGCTTAACCGTTTTTCTTGTATAATTTTCCCGTAAAATCGCCCGTAATAGATGGGAGATGCATAAAGTTTTTCACGTAGCACGAGTACCAAGTACGATATAGAAGAATAAATAAAAATGATCGTTGTAAAAGTCTATCGGTTCAAAACTTAGCAGAACTCCACATTGTTTGCTCATTAATTTGATGCAAAGTAAACTCCGCTATGTAATTACGCATTCACTGATTTGAATTTAAGAAGATAATAGGCACTTTCAAGAAAAGTACCAATTTTCACTACATCTCTAAGTATACGATCTGTTGCGTTGACTTGTTGATTATAGGGACCTGTCCAACAACAAGTTACAAGATCTTCCTCCAAGAGTATTTGCTGGCATTCACGCTTATGACTACGCTAAAATAGGGCTGTGAGTAAGATTGTTCTTCTGTAAATCAAAAACTACTTAAAAAGCAAAAGGAAAAGTGAAAAACCAATAAATATAACAGAAGTTATGCAAGGAGCCAACATCCTCTAGGAGTCATCTCTCTATACGTGGCCCTTACTGCCTATAGGATCCCATTACGTTTCTTTTTTCACTAACGGTAACGAAATATTTTTCCGTCGCACTGTTTATACTATCATTATAGTACATTATAATGCGCATTTATCTAAGAGTTCATAACAATAACTGTTTAGATGTGTGACCAGAAAGATTTAACAAAGAAAGAAGTCGTGAATCTGCTCTGTTCCTTTGTAAATTAAAGCACGCAGAAAGTGGCTAGAGCACCAAAGAAGTGTGGGGGAAACAAGAGACGTAGTCGAGTGTTTCTGCCTACTTCTTGAGTGATGCGCAAATTCTGTAACATCTTCAAATGCACATAACAATTTAAGAGTTAAAATATTACAAGCAACTAAAGCTATGAAGAGAAGGAAACATAAATAAAAAATTACTACAAAGACTACATTGCGATCAAAAGAAAAACTTCTACAGCAATGAAACTGTATGATAGAAATGCCCGTCTAATAAACAACTGCGTTAGTTACTGTTGCGTTGCAACATTGTGATTGACTTTTGAACTAAATTTCAACTCCACCCAATTAAACAAAACTCGTCCGTCTCATGATTTCGAAATTGCTACTTTTAATAAGATTAGCAGATGTTAAGGCCTTCAGAAAATACCAAGTAAATAATATTATTCAGCCCCAGTAAACAGCTTCAGTGCGGCTAAAGCCAAGTTAAATTTTGGAGAGTCAATGAAGGTATATAAAATAGTCCTAACTTTTAAATCATATCAATATGAAGTCAAACACTATTATTCATTAAGCAGAAAATTATTCTCTGTGTAATAGCTTACACTTTGTTGTTGTAATTGTTGATTATAGGAACTTCTCCAACAACCAATTAAAGATTCTATCTTCAGGAGTTTTTACCGGCCTTAAATTCTTTCGATATGCTTCTCTGAACCTGTAAGTAAGACTGTTAAACTTTGATTTTACATTTGTTTAAAGGGACCAAAAGTAGGTCAAGGTCTACAACTTACCCAGTTAAGTGTCGGGATGACATGGGAGGAAGAAAGGGTGTATGGATGCTGAACTCACTCCTCATCAACCCATGAGGTGTTGCTTACAGGAATGACAGCAAAGTAGCCGGACATGCGTGGTGAAAACCATCAAGCCACGTAGATATAAGTCTGAAAAATTAAAATTCATCACTTCTCTCTGTCATGAAAAGAACCTTTTTTTTTTTTTTTTTTTATCGTGTATCCGGTTGAGACGAGGAGCTCATGAAAATTGACTCGTCATTGGGCGCAATTTTCCGGGTAAATGGAAGTTTCGAAAGAAATGATGTCATCTTTTGAGACAAGCGTTTTGTAACCGTGGGCGTGAGTCATCAAACGGAATCAAGTACATAGTCACGTGTTATTTGAATGAATAAAGTTCAGCCCTTTATTTATAATTGGTCATCTCCGTGATGTCTATCGTTAGATTTCCAGATTTATAACATTTCATCAGTCTCTCTTGGTTGATTTTGATCGGTCTGTCTTGACACAGGGTCTTTCAATTTAAAGTAACAAAAGCTTTGACTGTTTCGCTTAGATCTTGAAAGTTCACATCAGCTTGGTGTCATACTCTTGATTTTACTGTTACCTTTCGGGGCGGGGCGGGGCGGGGCGGGGCGGGGCGGGGCGGGGCGGGGCGGGGCGGGGCGGGGCGGGGCGGGGCGCTTAAATCTTGTTAAATGGGGCGGGGCGGGGCGGGGCGGGGCGGGGCGGGGCGGGGCGGGGCGGAGGAATTACCTCTGAGCTGACTGACTAACGGACACAGGGAAAATATTGGTCAGTTAGAATTCAGGCGTCCCGCCGTCAGAGGTTTCACCGTTAACGATGTTTCACTACATTATGGCAAGACAAGTGTTGTTTTAAAGTAATTCCATCTTTGATATGGGAAATATATTATGAAAAAATTGCGCGCGCTCTATATTCAGAAACCTTTTGACTTCCGCACTCTACTACTCGTAATTCCCACAACCCGGCAATAAGACCGGCGGTGGGAAGTAAAAGTCTTGAAGAAAGATTTGAAAATTATGCTTGGCTTTAATTCAGGAAAGGAGATAAACTTTCTGTCTATAAAGATTTTTTTTCGACGTTGCCAATTGTTATGCGTCCTCTGGATAAGCCATTTGACTTGGTAACTCTCGTTGTGGCGACCGGCCGAGAAGAAGTCCAGAGAACTGTGGGTTTGCAATGCGCAATCGACTTATTGGAGGTGCGTGTGTTCAGGAAAGCTTACTTACGCCTTTGAATCAGCATTTTAGCGCTTAGAACTTGGGCGCAAAACAAGTATAACATGCGAACAAACTTCGTTTTCCTGTATAGTCACTATCGCTGCCTTTAGTTATCGTCTTCCACTTTGTAATTGAGACATTTAATAGCCGTCTTTATCAAGAATCAGTGTGAAGTGGAAGCGCCTATGATGTTGTTATTCGTGGTACAGTTGATGCGGACCATTGAAGCAAGTTGGAATAGTTCATGCAGGAGAAGGATGTGAAGTGCAACAATATGTAAAAGAAAACTTTGACTTTTATCTTAAAAGGATAGAAAAAAAATTGGAAAAAAAGCTTGTTGTCCCCGGATCTTTCCTGGCTCAAAAAAAAGGCCGAGGAATTGCCGCAAAATTTTAGGACGACATCATTCGTTTGAAGGAAGTGTGCACTCACACGGACATGATAGTTGAGAGAGGCTATAAGTAAGCAATTAAACGAAGTTGAACCGCAGTTGATCTCAATACACATTGTAACAATTTCCAACAGTGCTATCACTGAAACAGAATAGGGGCGCCTACGTTTCCTTTATCTTTTAATAAAGTTTTTCAAAAACGAGGTCTTCCCACCTTTACCAGTTCGCCCCCAAATCATGAAACTCGATTGTAATGCTGTTGAAGTTTTTGGGCAAGTGCGAAGTTCGAAGGCAAGGTGAGATAACTAGTTCTTAAATTTTGCTGCGCAAAAAAGGACAAAATTGTGTGAAACTCGTTAGATTAAGACTGGAGAAACGTAGCGGCTTTGCATTACTCAAGCATAAGTCGTGCGTTTTAAACGCGGCTTGGATTTGCATGTGTAAAAATCATATTGGTCGCAAACAAATATAACGACTTGGACATGAAAAAAATACAGTTCTGTAGTAGGGAAACAAGTCAAAAGATTTAGGGGCGAGCTGATAAAAGGGGGGGAGGGCGAACTTGTTTTAAGTTAGGCGGCGAAAAGGGTAATAAGGGGCGAACTTGCAGTGGGGCGAGTTCACCATAATCCCTTTCCTACGGTATACTTAGTTTGACGCACATACAGAAAGTCTCCAAGCGTTCAAACCAGAAATAAAGTTAATTCCATTGGTCTTTGCGCAGTGATCGCAATTTATTTCAATCAAATGATTTCCTGCAGTAGTTGTTTGCGTTGTCGTTTTTGTCAACATTTGGGAAGTCGCTTGGGAGGCGACAACTAACACTTAATGGAATTTCGCCACCATGTTAAGCTGCAGGCTGAAAAGTTCAAGTACATTTTGGAGCGCTCTGAAGTACATCAGGGGGCTATCCCCAAATAACAGAGCTTTTTAAATACGAGTATGCGTCGTAATTTTCTTGACAGTGTACAAGTACTCGAATCCAAGATAGCCTTTTAAGCTTTTTTTTGGAGCATTTCAGAATTTCATGTGAAACCAGGCTCATTACAACCCTAGAGTAATGTAATTGTAATTTTGGGACAATATCCTATTAATCTTACTATCTATAGCGGAATATCAGTGATAAAATCCATTATTATCAATTATAAGCAGTCACTAAAATACTTTTCTTCATGAAAAACTTAATTAGTGGATCGTAATTTAGATATATATAAAAAAGGTTTGGTTTAAATGATGGTGTCCCCAAACAGTGGTGTGTAACTACACTCAGTATCGGTAAGAAATTTAAGGGTTGAACTTTTTTATTTGTTGGGCAACTAACAACTTCTCCAAAGAGTTGGTATGGCATTTCTCATGAGATTTGAGAACAACTTGCTTATGATAAGAGGACGAGTTATGCCTGGTGGTCTCTACGATGAAAATATTTGCCCTTAATTGAGTTGGTGTGCTTTTTATGTTTTCAAGTGTTCTGAAGAAAAATAATGGCGCACGGCGTGGAAAACTGACATTGAGAGCAATGTTGAGACTAAGTCGAACTCTTGAAAATGGGCCTATACTATTGTTAATTCATGTAGAGTGTTGTGTTGATTAACAGATAAAAGTTCGCACAAGGACTGAATCTCACATGAAGTCTACAGTTTACAAACTTAAGATTAAATCCGCTTACGAGACGCCACGAAATATTGGAAAGTCTTTGTGGTTTAAATTCGAGATGGTTTTATTAACATTTCAGTCTCTAGATAAGATATGCACAGGACACCAATGTAACTTGGCTGGCATTGTTCTTGATAGAGCGAACCATCACACAAATGTAGTCTCTTGTTATTTACGACATTAACTAAATTAATTATGACACTCTTTAACATCTGTCATTATCTTCATTACCTTCTTGAGCGCTAATTGCCTCAAAAAGCCAAAATTTCCCTCCTTCTTTGCAAGATCTTTATAAGTTACCTTACTTTACGCTCGGAGAGCATCTAATTCAGATATTAATCAGATTTCCGTATATGAAGGCGGGCATAGGAAAGGATTTGGTCGAAATGATGGCTTCAGTATTTGTTTGCAGAGTAGGCCGTAAGGCCGGTAAACGAGCGGTGGAAGTGAAGGAACTTCTTATTTTTTTGTTTGATTAGCACACCTCTCCTGGCTCCGTCACTTGTAATGACATCATTAAGGTGTTATTCGTGACCTACAAAATATTCTGGTGCACTTAAAAATTCGTTTCTTAACCCCCAACATCTCCTTACTAATTCTCCTTACTGTCTTCTATACAATTCTTATGATGTCAGTTTGGAGGATTTGATATCCGATCAACTAATAATCCCCTAATTAATATTTTTCTTTATTCTCACCTTTTGGCTGCCTCATAATGTATTGATATTGTAAGGAGAAATTATGTTCTGGTCAATTACGGGAGTTAAAGAATTTAAAAGGAGAAGCGTAAGAAACTGAATGGAAAATAATCAAATTTTGGATCGTTCCGCCCAGCCATTTTGTTGCTCCGTTATTCGTCCGTATTTCCCCTGGATTGCAGTAAAATACCGTCTCATCTTTTTCGCGCTTCACTGTCTTAATATGGCAAAATGGCGTCATATTGAACTGATAAGAGAAAAATAAAATTCCGCCCGGCATCACCAAACAGCTCTAAGCTAACGCTTTACTTTTTGATGATTTTATGGTTCTAGGGACCTTTCTTACAACGAATTAGAGGAAATATCAGAAGGAGCTTTTACAGGCCTTGAAGATGTTTTCTTTACACTGTAAGTAGGGCTGTTCCTTTGTTTGTCTAGAAAAGAGCATAATATATAAAGAGTGATCATGAATAGACTGAATTTAATTTTAGATTACATTCTCCATAAATTAAGTGAAACAGGTACAGGACTTAAACCAATTAATTGTTAACTCCAATCATATATTCCAAAGGAGAACAACAAAGTAATGTACTACAACAGGCTTGCCATCTTATTAGGGTACTTCAGCATTATCAACTGAGTTGATGACGTAAATTGGCCACCGTAAAGAGTTTAAAAGCTGAGGTTTCGAGGATTTGCCTTTCGTCAATCGCTCTGACGAAGGGCTAACGCTCGAAACGTCAACGTTTAAACTCTTTACGTTGGCCGATCTACGTTATTAACTCAGATGACTGTACTAAATTACCCTGTTATACTCTCCCACCGACGCAGCACCACAGTTTCTTTAGAAACTTATCCCCTTTATTCGTTTGTCAACTTATCTTCCCACCTCGAATATTCGGTTTATTGCTACTTTTGTAATTGCTACAATCTTTCACTGACCTAATAACGAGGAAACCTATCAAAGTGGCGAAAATGAAAGATTCAGATCTGTTGAGAATTTAGATCGACGAATAACGATCACTACTTACCAGAGTGCAAAGAGCAAAAACAAAACGCTTTTAAAAAAGGAAAAGGAGACAAGAGAGAAGATGCTTCTAGAAACAACTCAGCGGAAGAATCTATTGTAGTTCAAACGTACTTAAAGAAGGGTATGGATGATGTAAAAGATTGCCTAGGCTGAAGGTCGCAGTTTAATTCAGCGTAATTCTCAGTGATGTAATAAGGTAATAGAGATTGAAAAGGTTTTCCGCGTTTTATATAACAAGTAAAACGCAAAAATTCGTTTAAAGCTCGCGAAACAACGACTGATCCTTGAATGAATCCTCAAGGTGATTCCTTTGTATTACATTCTACATCTTTATCGCGCATGTTTTTCACGCGTGAGTAGCGGGAGAAATTTAACAAAATGGGGAATATTATTCGACGAAGAACTTGCTAGTGACGTAAATCGTGATTTTTTGGTAAACGAGTACGGCGCCCCACCTTTTTAATTTCGTTATTTTGGTAAGAGCCATGTCTTAACCGACTTGGAAAAATTTAGCAAAAACCTACGGCCATCTTAGAAGCAATAAATAAACTGAGTCGCCTGTCTTGGTGCTCACACATGGCCGAAGAAACTGTACAGTTTCAGTTAGCAGTTGACGGACAGCATATTAAAACCGTGTGAGGCTTTTTCGATAGTTCGATCGGTTGCTGAGCAAAATATGTTTTCAACTCAGCATATTGATTATTTGCCCATCTTCGCATAATAAGGCGTAAAAAGACAAGTACTTGGAATGTCAAAGTAGCCTCGCGCACTTTGGCGCGTTGAAGGCCGGTTAACATTTTGGCCAGGTTTCTAACAAACCCTTCAATTATACATATCCTGTGAACTCGATCGAATTAAGGGAACCCACGCGTGATTTTTAAGCTCCCAAAGTTTTTCATGATTTTTACAACTTATTAACAAGGTTGTCAACGCGGTCATGCCGCTGACCATTGAGACACAAGCTTCTGACCCCTAAATGCTCTAACCAAGAACAGTCCTTTGAAATACAATTATACGTTCAAATCGAAATTGTAATAATTGCAATGGGGAACGCGAGTTCTAAGACAAATGCCTCTAAATGTAGAACGGCGCATTAGAAACGAAGCATTAGCCAGTGAATGAGGAGAGAAGTGACAGAAACCAACGGCAAAACTCACAACCATAATCAATCTACCGGAAATCCCAAACAAAGCGTGTTGGCGTCTACGCATGCACTCGAGTTTCATATTCTTATCCACGACTTCTACTCCCTTTCCGATGAACTCATACCTTATGCGGCGGACTCTTTCTTTAAATTCACAGATTCTAATGGCCTAGTCTTCGAGAAACAACACACCTCTTAAACGAAATTTGCTAATCATTAGAACTGGTCGAAACAAAAAATGGTAAAATGAAAAATGGTAATCTTCTTCACCAGCAACTTTTCATATCGTTCTGAGTGCCAGTGCTCTCTATTCATCAGGGGACAGTTGCTGGCCCCCTCTTATTCCGGTGCATTTGCATCCCAGAGATCTACTAGCACAAATCTAAATATCTCATGTTATGATGTCTTGCTGACAGGTATTTGTCCAGTAATCAGTTAAAGAATTTACCTCCGGGAGTTTTCAACAGGACTAAATACCTCAACAGCCTGTAAGCATTAATTGATATAAATCTTTATTTTCTACCGCAAAATTTCATCTTGACAGGTTGCATCGCGAGTCCCACTTGATTTTTAATAAAAAAAAAACTCTAGTCAAACCTAATTAACCAATTTTATTCAAGGCATTTCCACGAACAATCGCCCGGGCGCCTATTTAAAATTTCAGCTGAAAGGAGGGGTACTTTTTGGAAGGAGGGCGCTTTGTCAAGACATTTTTATTATTCAGAAACTACTAATTTGTACTGATTCCGCTGTAGTAAAAAGCTTTATAGTTATTAAAGTGGCAAAGAAACAGATGTTCTTCCTATCTAATAAAGTGAGGGATGGGGAGTTGGGGCGGGGAAGGGGGAGAGGAGGGGGCGGAAAGGGGGGAGGGGAGGAGAGGGGGGCGGGAAGGGGACAGGAGACAGGACATTATTTAAGGGGGAGGGGCGCTTAAAACGCAATAAAAGGAGACTTCTTCCCGGTAACAGTATTATTATCTACCAGCACAAATCTAACTATCTCATGTTATGATGTCCTGTTGACAGGTACTTGTCTAATAATCAGTTAAAGAATTTACCTCCGGGAGTTTTCAACAGGACTAAAAACCTCAATAGCCTGTAAGCACTAATTGATATAAATCTTTATTTACTGCTGTAACATTCATGCGATTAAGGGGAGGGACTGAAACAGTCTCCCGCAGAATTAATTTCATTACTTGCAAATGAAATATATACAACCGCTGGAGGAAACAAAGTTTATGGCGAGCAAGAAAACATCTTCTAATAGTGTAGCCCCCCCCTCCCTTCTTCACAAACCCCACCCAAACCAGGACTAGAAGCTGACCTCAAAACCAAACTCAACCGTGTATCGGGGGTGGGTGGGGAAGGCAGAGATCAGGCAACCAAGTAAGTACAAGTTAAACAAGACTTTTTGTCACCTTTTCTTAGGATTGCAGTTCTTTAGCCCCCAGGAGCATCCATTATCAGAGCTCAGTAACGACATCAAAATCTTGTCACAGTTTCTCTCACCCATGCTTAGGCTTTTAAGCAAATTGACGGCGTTGATGCAAAACACGGTGCGTGAAAAAATGTGCGTCGAAAACCTTGGGACGAATTCTTATTTCTTCAGCACACGGTCATATTACGAGTACTGCGGTTTGGATTTGTGTAAAAGCTACCTTCTATGCTATAGGCAGTTCATTTGGTTTCGGGCGCATTAATCATTAAATGATTCTGTAATTTGTTTAGTTTAATTCGTTGGAAAACTCCGGCGTAACAACAATTTCTCTTCTACTAGACATAACCGTTAGTTGATGTAATGTATATAGTACGGTGGAAAACATTTTTATTTCAAACACTTTCCAAATGCTTCCTGAAAGAGCCCGAATAATTTAGGGCTGTAATTACGGCAAGATCCTTCATAAACTGAAAAATGTTTTAGCGCGTAGATAGCCTACAGAACAAATTAAAGAGAGAGGCTTCACCGAAAAAGTTTTATTTGCGTAAAGATAAAGGTTAAATTTAACAGGCTTCCAAGCAATCTTTGAAATGTGACTACCACGACGATGTTTTTCTTCGAAAACAATACGTGATCATAAGGAAAGTAATAGTTACTTCCATCGGCGATTAATCCTCCTAGATTTACCTCTGGTCAGTTTTAAGTGACTAAAAAAGTAAGTGTAAGCAAATTCAAATGTATGTTTTGAAATTGTGATAGTCTGTTCAATGGCGCGTGCAAATCTTATCTTTCTTCCACCGAAAAAACTGAAGTAAAATGAGACACTTTATTCAGACACAAGTGGATTTAATGCTGTGTTTACTCATGCCATTGAATTTCCTTGGTTTCTCCTGTGCAACTTACAATGGAAATGGCCAACATTCAACGGACTAGCAAAGACTTCCCAAAATTATGTTTGTAGTAGATCTTGGAACTCAAAACATCGCTTGGCGTTTTAAAACGAACAAACTGTTTTGGCGATTTTAGATCTAGATAGTAAATTTGATTGATTTGAGCGTACATAAGGACCTTTTGATGAAGTAAGTAGGTCACCCCTGATGAAGGCACTATACAGGAATGTTGAAACGTTGGGTCTATGAATTGTAACTTCTCGGTTACATTCATTAAATCTTTAAACCAGAGTAGCATAAAACCAAGTTTGATTGATTGTAATTGTGAACCTTTTAAGTTGCTTTTTGTGAAGGATTATTAAATTATTAAATTCTAGGTCATCTATGGACTTCCTGTACATGTGAAAAGCCAAAATTATTTTTACTGTCGACATCAGTTTTAACTACATTAGAAGTGTACTCTGTTTGAATTCAACACCCATGGCATCACTGAACGGGTGATGGATCATACCATGATGACTCAAGTGTATTTTGTCAGTTGCATTAATTTGAAATTGTTGACTAAAGCAAGCTGGCTTGGGAGAAAATGTTACCATTCAAGGGTAAACAATATACTGCAAAACTTGTGTCAAAAGAGCTGGGCAGTATAGATCAGTATAAGAAGCTAAACCAAAAGTGATAAAGCTGCTAAAGGAAATACCTGGATCAGTCTTTTGGTCAGCTGGCAGTTCAAATACTTTCTCCCAGGAGGGCAATACAGATCACTGTCTATGTAATGAGTTATAGATAAAGTGGCAATAGAAACAGGTTTTCTTCATATCTAAGAAAAAGAAGGAGGAGTGGGGAGGGGGGCGGTGGCTTATTCGAAGGGCGCTTGAAACGTAACAAAACGAGACTTTCTTTCGGTAGGAGTTATATGAAGTTAAAAGCTTTATCTGACAGCGCATTTCTGATATTTGATGTGATGATTTCTTGTTCACAGGGAGGAGGGGGAGGGGCGGTGGCTTATTCGAGGGGCGCTTGGAACGTAATAAAACGAGACTTTCTTTCGGTAGGAGTTATATGAAGTTATAAGCTTTATCTAACAGTGCATTTCTAATATTTGATGTGATGATTTTATTCTTGTTCACAGGGACTTATCCTATAATCAGTTAAAGGACTTACCCTCAGAAGTCTTCAGTTGGGTTGATGATCTCAACAGACTGTAAGTACCAACCAACATAAATCTTCATTTACAACTGTAACATCACCAGACAATCGAAAAAGTATCACGCAGAGCTCAACAACTTGCAAATGAAAAATATATAATCGGTGGAGAAAAAAAAGTTTGTGGCTAGTGATAAAACTCCTTCTAATTGTACACCCTCCCCCAGCCCTTCCTTACAAATCCCACCACTCGCCAAACGAGGATTAAGAGCTGGCCTCAAAATTAAACTCAACCTTGTATCGGGGTGGGTAGGGAAGGCAAAGATTAGGCAACCAGGTAAGTAAAAGTGAGTAAGACTTATTGCAGTTTTTTAGCCCCCAGGAGCAGTCGTTATCAGAGCTCAGTTAAGCCGTATGAAATCTTGTCAAAATTGCTCACCCAAGGCTACGCTTTAAAGCAAATTAACTGTGTTGATGAAAAACACAGTGCGTGAAAAGATATGCATCAAAAACCTTGCAAAGTATTCTCACTTCTTCAGCACGCGGTCATATTTTAAGTACTGCGGTTTGGATGTGTGTAATTGTTGCCTTTCTATGCTATGGGCAGTTCATTTGGTTTCGGGCGCATTCATCCTCACGTGACTCGGTAATTTATCTAGTTTACTTGGTTGGAAAACTTGTCAAAAGAATTTCTGTTTTACTGAATATAATCGTTAATTGATATAATACATATGCTACGGACCGACCTAGGCTGGTGAATAGAATTTTTGATTATTTTCAAACACCTAACGAAATGCTTGCCACAAACTGAAAAATTTCTTAGCGAGTAGATAGTATAGAAAAAAGAGGCTATGCAAACTTAAAAGAGAGGCTTCACAGAAACATTTTTGTTTGCGTTAAGATAAAGGTAATTAAAAAGGCTTCCAAGAAATTTTTGAAACATGACTATCATGCCGATGTTTTCTTCAAAAACAATCAGTAATCTTACGGAAAGTATTATTTACTTCCATCGGTGACCAATTCACAAAGATTTACCGATGTGTAGTTTTGAATGGCAAAGAGAGTCAGTGTAAGTAAATTCAAATGCATGTTTTGTAAGTGGAAATAGTGTGGTTTTCGAGGATTAAAAATTAGTTTGGACCTTTTAATTTCCGCACAGAAAGACCAGGCTTAACTTTGTGAAAATTGCAACATCGTCATTTAAGTCACGACATAATCTAATTGGGCACCTCATCGTTAAATCCTGAATTTCGAAAAAAATTTTGCAGTTAACACCGTGTTCGATCAGGAAATCAATACAGTAAGGTAGCCTTGCGTAGCCAACGACGGCGGCTGGTTATAAAACCCGAATAATCACCGAATACTGCGAATAGTCGCGAATAGTCGCGAACAGTGACGAATAGTCGCGAATAGTGACGAATAGTAGCGAATAGTGACGAGAGGTGGCGAATAGTGACGAATAGTAGCGAATAGTGACGAATAGTAGCGAATAGTGACGAATAGTGGCGAATAGTGACGAATAGTAGCGAATAGTGACGAGAGGTGGCGAATAGTGACGAATAGTAGCGAATAGTGACGAATAGTAGCGAATAGTGACGAATAGTGGCGAATAGTGACGAATAGTAGCGAATAGTGACGAATAGTCGCGAATAGTGACAAATATTGATTTATACATTGATTGTCAAGTTTTCGGTAAGTGACTAAAACAAGTTCCCCTATTTGTCAGGCGCCCCCATATGTCATGTCGCGTTACCAACTCCGGTCTTCTAGTGACCTGACTAGGCCGTTTATTGCACAAAACAAGACACTCTATAGAGTGTACACTCGTGCCTAACCTACTGCGAAGGAGCTTTGCTATACATATACTGTGCGCTTTGTATGGCTTTCTTCTCTTTTAGCTTGTGTGGCAATAGTGTGACATTTTATAGGTGTCCGAGGTCAAGGCGTTCAAGAACATATCAATCAAGTCTTATGTTTTTCATTCTTGACGTCATAGACCTTCATTGGGATTCCTGTGCAATTTATTGTTATTCACGGATGTCACCGAGGGAATTATATTTCTCGAAGTATAAATGAAGGTCACGAAATGTGAGTGAGAGTTTTCGGTAAAGGCAGTCTTCCTTTACGAGTTAATGTGCGTGTTACTGTTCGAATCGAAGCCTGTTTACGGGCCGAATTAATTAAGGCCAAGATAATATGAATGATATCGATAATTTTCTGGTGAATCGAAATCAGTTCAGGAACATGGTCGAGGCACATACTGACAGATGTAGTTCAACAGCAGTGTCAGAATCTCTGTAACACATTGCAATGTAAAGTGTCTTATATTTATCAAGTATTCTTTATCCGCCGCAGGGGAATTTGAAAGCATACTCGAAGGTAATTTTTTGTAGTATGTAGATTGGTATCTTTATGAACAAAAGTTACTTTCCTCGATAAGTTGTTGTGATATCTGACGGAGTTGGAATCGAAGCTCGTTTACGGGCCGAATTAATTCAGCCTATGTTAATAAGATATCTGACAGAGTTTGAAGGAGAGTGGAGTCGTGTTATGCGGAGTTAGCCTAATTTTGGATCTCTTACTAAAGAAAATGTTCGTTGTATGTGTTTTAAAATTGAGTCGTTTATTGTAACTTAATACCACAGATCGACAGCATGGAATGCCTGTGCCCCAAATGAATTTTGATGTTTTTAACTGGAGAAGCTTATCGACGTCTTCGTAGCAATCACACCTTGAACTTTTTTCAAATATGTTGATAATGCATGATCCAAGTATTAAGATCTACGCCCAAGTATGAATTCATCAGCAAGAAAGCGTCGTGCGCCGGTTGCCTCATCAGCTCATGAGGCTTTCGTTGTTCTAGGCTCACAGTATTTCACTTTCTGTTAGAAACGGCTACTTCTATTTTTATCTCATTATTAATTCATTTATTTCTACTACTCGTCACAATTCGCGACTATTCGCAGTATTCGGTCGTTATTCGGGTTTGATCAATGGCCAACGACGGCAGATTGGTTTCAATCCCAGCTTTCGTTTCAAATTCTCATCCATTCCCCATGGCAAAATTGTTCATTATAACACATTCCGTATGCTAGCGGGAAGTGTCTGTTTTTCTTTCATATTCTCACACATTTTTTTGAAAAAACTCTTCATTGTGGACTTGAAAGAGAACAATTCAACCATCTATACCGGGAGGTCAACAGTTTTGTGCCAAAGACGTTGGAGACGGGCAGCAATCGGATACTAGTGTAGATGTAACACACTCGAGCGTTTGTCGCGCAAAGCTGAAATTATTTCAATCCGTGCGAAATGAAAAACCCCGAACTAATTTTTTAAATCCTCGAAAACAGCACTATTACCACTTATCACGAGCTTCACCTGAGCTGATTCTGAGTTATACCGCATGGGGAAATTGTTCATTGAAAATTTGTAACGAAATGCAATATTTATATTTGGAAATATTGGTGATTTTCCAAAGCTTTCCGTGGGCTCCAAATGAAATGAAATAATCCCGTTTTAGACTTGAACAATTCCCCATCCCTCCGATACAAATTTATCAAATTGATATAAGCTTGCTTTCTTTTGCGCTTTTTCGAGTACCCCTTGCTACTCAGAACACTGATTTCTGCCATTTAATTAATTAACTAATTAAACGACGCTCGTTTCAATGTTCGGAAACTTACAAGAATAAAGAAGCAAGTCTGAGTAAAGGAAAAAAAACTTTGCCGCATTTCTTAGTTCACTATAGTGTAGACGATGTGCCACATTTTTCGATTTTCACTTCGTCCACTCAGACGTTCGCTCATAATTTGCTACCACAAAATTTCATTTCGGAACCAGTTTTCTAGAGGAAGCCATAGTGAATGAAAAGAGAGAGAGGGAGAGGGAGAGAGGGAGGGAGAGAAAGAGAAAGAGAGAAATTTAATTAATTAATTTACTTATTTATTAATCATCGGCTAAATGTTGTGACCAAAATATTTGCTTATAAATGCTGCAAGGCGCACTAAGCGGTCAACACGCAACGGATCGGATACCGCCCCGTGTGAGCCGGCCGAATGGAAGAATACCGCCCACTCTTGATTCCAATCCGATCACAAAATTTGCAGAAAACCGCCCACTCACGCGCTGAGAAAAAAAAAAGATATTTGATCGTACGCGTAAGCTTAATGTGCCCTCTACGGTTATGTCTATCGCTTTTTGTTATCCGGATCCGCTCCAAGTCCTGCTACTAGAATTATTACTGTTCTCCAAAGGTTCTTTCACTATTTTGTGACTAGGACTGAAATTACTTTAAATCACCTACATCGTATCAGTGACTCAAAACATCTGAGAATGCAATCAAATGTTGGCACCAAATCTACAGCATCGCCATGACTCGACCATCACTCAGGTGATTCATCAATAAACTCACTCCGATCCATATGTCCAGAAAGATCATTTTTTGCAATACGTTTATTATTAAGTCAATCTATCTCAAAACAAGAGGTTGTCACATATGTAACACTTAGTGAAATTCTACAAATTTAACACACTTGTTGGCTATTTATTTACAATGCGTTAAAAGTTTTACAAAACGTCAGCTTTGAAACTTTCTATGGTTGCTAATTTTCGTTAGCAACTCCGCAGTCGATAATACTAAATTACTCTAATTTCCAACGGTTTCGTAGAGAGGCATTGTGACAATCTCGTAATCCTTTGGCAGACGATAAAGAGAGGGGTCAAAAGTTTTTCTTTTAAAATGGTATCTACCTAAACACCAATCTTTTCAATCTGTTCACTGATTCCATATACATCACCCAGGAAAAGCTGTGGAAGCTGTTTTTGTGTCTTTGCTTTTTCCAGCGCAACTTGATTTTTCTTATTATTATTTTGCTGCCGTTCTCATTTTTTTTCGCAATTCTGCAGCTAGCGCGGTGAACTTCGACAAATAACGCTTCGGTTCATAGTCCATTGTAACCGTTCATAGTCTGCCGGCTCTTTTCCGCACTGCACTTGGTTTCCTTATTAACATGATTGTAATTCATCCTCTCCTATCAAATTTAAATATTTGACAACTTTCTGTTCCTCACTTTTGGAGCATCATTTTCTTGCGTTTTTAGATTCACGGGCAGCACGGTTTTTGCATTCAGTCTTCAATTTAATTCCACGATTCAATTTCTTTTCAAAATTAAGCTAAAAGGTGTAGGTATTATGGCTGAGTATATGCTTACATCAGTCAAATCATCACCTCGCTGTAATATCTATTTCATTTGGTTGGCTGGAAATACTCGCAAAACTCTAGTAAAAAATGCCAATATCTTTTAAAGCAAAATTTTCCTGATTTCACAATGTCGCACACAAAATACGTCAAAGATGCAGAGTTTCGGCTCTAACTTTTGTTCCTATCAATTTTTGTCGCACCGTTTGTTTCCTTCAGGGGATGTTGGTGCATAGCACTTTCTTTTGAGTCTAAATGGCTTTTCAACAGGGGTTGAAATGACAGAGCGCGAGCTTGATGAATTCCTTTATCGCGACATTCTAACGTACCCAGCCGCAATCTTTCCTTACCTTCGATGAAGGATCGTTTTCTGCTGCTTTGGGAGTAATGATATGACAGTCAAAGAAGTGAAAACATGTGCATCGTGTTGCGATTAAGCTCTGTTAGGTGTTTCTAAGCTACAGAGCTAAGTGATTCCTATCAAGAGAGCAGATGAAGCTTCTACCGGTTTTGTTATCGATCAGTATCACAAGATTCAAAGGGCTGGAGATGATAATTTACGTGGAAAGGAAAGGCTTTATCTGAGATTGGGTGCAGATTGCACCCTCAGGGAATTGACAAGCCGCACAGAAAAACTTTTGACTCAAACTTATTGTAACTTAACCTCAAAGCCTCGTTAGCCCCGGAAAATTCATTTACTTATGATGATTTCAGTCTTGAATCACGTATACCTGAAATTTCATGTTAAAGGGTTCATCTTGTTTTCTCTTTTATAGTGACATGTCCTATAACCAACTGGAGCTACTGCCTCCAAAAGCTTTTTTTGAAATGGTTTTTCTTCAAGAACTGTAAGTAGAACATTTCTTACAGGTGTTATAGGGATTTTGTTTAGGTTGCTCCTCTTTATCAAATATTGTGTTATGATGTTGTGAAAATAACTGTTTATGGCCATGTCTCAAAATGACTACCTACAAACAAATTGAAGTATTTGATTAGTTAAACTCGATATCGCTCATAGTCGAGATTTTCCAATCTATACACCGACATTTAGATCGATGTTTTGTAATATTTGTTAAAAAGTAGCATAAGAAAAACGACGAAAAAAACATCACTAACGGTTCTTTTAGATGGTACATTAAAAAAAAATGTGTCTGGTCCACTCAACTGTAATCGAAGCAATGATCACTGTGAACTTTTTGAGTCTATTATTCGAATAAACGCTGCATCATGTTGCGGCGTTTATTAGAAGGCGGTACCTTCAATATTTCTGCTCAAAAAAATGCGGCATGTAATTTATTCGGTGACGGCGTTATTTCGAGGGCGGCGTTTAATCAAATAAATACGGTAATTTTACTTTTGGCCGTCTGTCGGCCGACGGTCGGCCCACACTTAAGTCTGCAACATAACGAAAAATGTCGATTGTTGGCCGTCTGTCGGCCAATTTTCGGCCGACGATCGACCAACTGTTGGCCGACGGTCAACAGTCGACCAACAGACGGCCAACAGTCGGCCGACTGTTGGCCGACAGCTGGCCGACAGCATCTTGTGGGAACTGTTCTTCACTTTTACCTAAAGATTTACATGGAAATGAACATTGGCGCTTTAAACCTTTAATAGATCTGGACTAGTTTTGAGTAATGATAGATTTACCCCACTCAAGTAATTGTTCTTCTGCCTCAGAGGCGATGTGCCAGTTTTTTGATGAACGTGGCTATCCTGTTTCTGTCATTCAAGCGGACCACCACCGTGCCCAACTCAAATTGATGGACAGTCAGTACCACGAACGGCTGAGAAGGAAAACACTGGACGCATTCCATTCACTCTCTCATTTCACCCTCACAACCGCGCAGTTAAATCTATCATTCTAAAAAACTTTAGATTACTTCAAAACGATTCAGAGACTGGTACTATGTTTTCGCAACCTCCACTAACTTCATTCAAACGCGACAAAAACAGATACAACTTTTTGGTCAGAAGTTCATTTCAAACCAATGACCAACCTTACTGGAACTTTCAAATGCGCTCACTCACGATGCAAAACTTTTCCTTTTATCCATAACATAGAGAAAATATCGAGACCCAAGAGATCCATTAAGATCCCTGATCACTTTACGTGCGCCTCTGCCAATGTCATTTACTGCCCAACTTGCACTTATTGCAAAAAATTATTCATTGGTGAAACAGGAAGACGACTCGGTGACCGATTCCGAGAACACCTTCGCGACGTAGAAAGAAAGGACAAGGAGACATCTAGATCAGTTGCTAGACACTTTAATCTCCTCAATCATTCTAAACAGCATATTGTAGTTTGCGGCCTTCACTTCAACTAGGCAGTTCGGAAAGCCGCTAAACTCTAGAAAAGAAATTTTTCTTCCAAATCGGCACTCCTAATCCCCACAGTATCAACGAGCGTTTTTCATTCAACTACTTTATTCTTGTTTTCTCGTCACCATTTCCCCACCAACAGCGTAACTCCATTTTCTGCATATAAACCCACTCACAACCCACAATTCCTCCAATCGCTCTGACGAAGGGCTAGCGCTCGAAACTTAAAAACAGGGTGGCCAATCTACGTTATCAACCCAGTTGATAACACAAAATCATCTTGTTATACTCTCCCGCCAATGTAGCACTACAGTTTCTTAAGAAATTTACCCCCTTTATTCATGCGTGGTTGTGTTCATCATTTATTTAAAAACATTCAAACGCCTACGGTAGTAAACATGAGTAGGAAAAGTCATCCTTTCCACCCATAAATTGCAATTGTGTCAAAGTTGTCAAACTGAAAAATTAATTTTCGGTGTTAAAAAAACCGTGGAAAAAGGCAGAAATTACGTGCTTTGTTCTCATAATGGATTGATCTAAATAAGAGGAGCAAAATAAATTCCTCAAGGCTGAGTTTTGTGAGCGGGCCTTTGAACGCTGAGGCAATTTTTTCTCGGCAAAATTTGTTTTGCAATATTTTAAGAAACTAAGGTGGTTCAACCAGTCGATTGTTTTGACGAAGGTGTTAAAGCTTGGTGGCCAATTTACGTTTACAACTCAGTTGTTAACACTAAATTACCTGCTAAATTTTCCATAGGTTTAAATCCATAGGAATCAAGTAATCGCTAACTTGTATTTTCAATGTGTTACATTTGAAGTCAACAAACTTTGGTTTAAGCAGCTTCTATAAAGAAAACAATTTTCGGTGGTGTTCAACAAAACAGCTCTAAAAACATGTTTAAGCTTTGGTGTGAATGGGTTACAAGAAAGATTCATGGGAAAGTTTCAACTCAAAGTGAAAGAAATCGATTTTTCGAACGGAAATGCACCGGACCACTTTTAGGGAGACTGCGTCTTAGGGATACAATAGACTTTCAAAGCCAATTTTTTGTTTTCGTTTTATGTTTTTGTTTTTGTTTTTGTTTTTCATTTCAAACTTAGCATCGCTATTTTAACTCCAGTTTTCAAGAAAAACTTCCGTAAAATATTGAAACAAGAGCGAGTTTTTTAACGAAGAGCCGTTTTGAATTATTTTGATTACTCTGGCAAAAATGTCGGCCATTGTACCATCCCCCAGATATTTGAACAGAAGACAATAGCACGACTAAGGAGACAGAGGGAAACCTAATGAGACAGACAGGGAATAACGCGTTTAATCTAAGTTTTAATACATAAATTAATTGTCAAACAGATCAGAATCGAGCTGGTTAATTTTCCTTCCGAACTAAAACCCCATAGTAGTACTGACGTCATACCATAAAGCAAAAAGTACTTGGAGAAAAGGAAACTTCAATTTAGACTCGCGTTAGGCATTGTTTGTGCCAGATATTGTTTAAAATATCAAAACTTTCTTCATAAGGAGGCTTTCGTAAGAATTATATGCATTTTAAGTCTGAACATGAGAGTGATTTTCGTAGTGATGTCTCGCAATAAGTTTTAATCTCTTGAAAAAAAAAGGGAGCGCTAAAAGACTTGTAGTTTTTCTCTTCAGAATTTCGTTTTCTCTTTTATTTCCTTTTGTGATTTAAATATATTTCGTATAAACTCCATCCGCCAGGAGAATGCAAGAAGCCAATCAGTCTTTGCTCGACTCAGTTACACGTAGATACCGAAAATCTCTCATCATAATGACTCAATTATTCGTGTTTTATTCCACAGTCGACGGGGTCTGCATTTGTTTCAGTCTGTGTTTTAAGTCTATATCAACAGCACCAGAGGAAATCAAATCAACCCATTAAATTTTTATTACTATTGTTTCCTTGTTGACGATACAGATTCCTGAACAACAACAACTTAAAGAATTTGTCCTCTGATCAGCTACCTCGACGGTTGGTTCGGCCAAACTTTGAAAACTTGTAAGTTAAGTAGTTTTGGATCTTCATTTTACTTTAGATGAGTGACAATGCTACCGCTGAAGGTTTTTACTGCATTTGGCAACACAAACATTTCCAACACGGGGGCTGAAGATTTAAACCACTGAGTATTAAACTGTAGATAAATTTTCACTTGTACTATAAGACCCATCCGTTATAATATTAAATTTTTTATTTGGCAAGGCATGTTCAAGGTCAAGCAATTGCAAATTAACATTTTTTTTTAAAAAAAGAATGAAAATTGCGACCTGATTCCAAGAAAAAAAACAAGTTCTTGCTAATATTTCCCTGATAAATCGAGTAGTATCATTTTGAATTTTTTTTCGGCGTGTTTACTCCTCGAGCAACGTTTTCCTTCCCAATGTTAAATAAGTCATCAGGCAACAATGTTGCACCCAAAACTGCTAATTTCAAGTCAATTTAGTTCGTTCTTATTTTCAGAAATCTGATTCTTGTCGATATAATTGTGATTGATGTAAAATTCAAATTTCAAATGTTCCCGTAGTATTATAAGCTCAAATTTCGACCATTATTAGAGAGCACCAGAGGTTTCTTTTCGCTTCTTCATGTTAGTTAAACTTATATACATTGATTAATTTTTTCGCTGTTATTCTCAAAAGTCACTCAGATGAACCTGAGGTCTCAGAGGCTCGAGTTATAGCCTCTCATTGAAGTTAACGGTCAAACATCCAATGGCCAAAAAAATTAACCGTAAACCCTCAAAAGATTTGTACTTGCGACCGTCAGGAAAGCAAATTTATATGGGATGTGAAACTCGCAGAGGTCTCTTCATAAGAACTAAAACTGAGTCAGGATATGCCACACAGATCCTTTTATTTACATTTCAGGCTACAGGAAATCATTTACTCACGTCCTTCTGAAAAAATTCCTCTCTCTTAAAACGTTACAGGTGTTCTCTGTACTGGTTAGCAAGGGGCGTTCAAGAACGCATGCACCTCCTGCAGTTCGGACTTGAAACAGCTAATTAAGCCACCTAGAAGGGCCGTTAACAGCATATATTCAAGAATTTTTTTATTGGCACAATTATGCCCGTTGTCGCATCCTCTGTAGGTTCAAAACTGACTTTAAAAAGTCTTAGAGGTCATCCATGCTGTCAGAAGGCACATAGCATTCTAAAAAAAGAATGATTCTGAAATAAATGTTTCGACATTTTTTCTAACATCTAAGCTCAATCATCTCAAAATCTAAAGGTGAAAAAGTGCACGAGTAAAACGATTCAAAAAAAAAAATGGACTTAATGAAGATGACGGATGAGTTGTTAAGGCTCGACTTTCAAAATCCAAAATGTTGTGTCGTCTTAAGATTCTGACGTATCCGCTGCTCTCCTTATGTCGATATCTTTTTACACAGAACCCTGGACTTCAACAAACTGGAGACTCTTCCTTCTGATATATTCCAGGGTTTCAAGTTGTACGATCTGTAAGTAATTGATCTTGAAGCTTTAGACAGTTGACGGCTGCTGAGCTGGATTGATTTCTCAATTTTCCCAAACATTTTTTAGCGTTTCGTTCAAAAATGAAATTGAATTCCAATTAAGAAACTAGATGTGAAAAATTGAAAGTGCTAGTATAAATCTTCCAGAATAAATGATTAAAGACGGGGGCTTCACACCCACTTTCCCGCCCCCCTTCCCCCCGAAAACACTCTTTCTCATAGATAGATAAATAGTTTATCGCTTATCGCCCTCAAAGAAGTTGTTTTTTCAGGAGAAATTTAAAGATCGCTTCAGGTTTCATCTCCTTGTCCCTTCATGATTTACGGGATTTCACTGAAACCACAGAGTAGATATCTCAAAAAGCTGGAATCATCAATCTCATTATTACCGTATATCAATGAATGTATACTTAGAATTGTCCTTGTTGAAAGTATACTGTAGGTAGAATTCAAGGCTTGCCCTCAGTGACATAACTAATTACATGGCGTGACAGATTGAAGCTAAGAAAAGAATTGTGCATCTTACAGGTGGCTGGGAAACAACAACATTAAAAAGTTACCTGAAAACTTGTTTGTGGGGCAGGATAAGCTAAAATATCTGTGAGTGGTACTAAAATTGTTTATTGACTAATCGGCGGAAACTTTTTCGCTCATACATATATGAATAAAACCTGAACTAAAGAAATGATCAACATTTCAGCATGGAAAGCTCGTTTCGGTTGGTCTACTTAAACCACCCGAATATTCTGGTGGCACATTCACCTATAACCAGTGGGCTTCAGGGTCAATTGCAATCTCTGATCAGGAGTCGATTACTCACTGAGTGGACTAACAAACATTTAAGACACACCGCATCTATTACTTAATCGTTATTGCGGACCTTTGTTTTGTTTGAGTCGCTCTGGATCACAGGACCTGTTGAAAGGCGAAGAAAATAACCTAAAATTATTTCATCCGATTTAACCTCGCTAAAAATTCCTAATAACCCGAGCGTGGGTTATATTTCAAGATCGACCCAGTCACAGTTAAGAGAGCTTCTTCTTGGCTGTGTGGAAAACGTGGTTTAATTGAAACAGCGAAAACTATTGACAACGGAATCGTGAAAAAAGGAGCCAGCGAGCTAAACAAATCACTTTAAAGTTTCTAAAACCAAGAATGATTAAGAATATGAGTTAGATAGCCTAAGAGGGATGATAGCCACACTCGACAGGTAATTAGATGTACAAGAATACGAGTGGTACATAACAAGAGCAGAAGAGTTCCACCTTTCCCAGAAATTCTCCAATAGAGAAAAGAGCTAAGCAGCTTCGCTAATGCGGTATAGGCAAACGTCCGTATAAAGCGTCAAGTTTTACCAAAGAGGAAGAAGAGGTGCTATGGAAGGCAGAAAATTTAGGTTCTAAAACTCCACACGCTCTTATTTTTTACTATGTGGTGGCTTTAAATGCTATCTTTTGGTACCCATGGCCGTCAAGAGCATCATGGAATGAAAATAGATTATTTAACTATGAAAAAAGTGACGAAGGCGTGGAGTTCGTGCCGTTTACAGAAGGTCCAAAAAAGACGAGACAGGGCGGGCTTTAGAGTAAGAACATAGACTTCCAGCCACGGTTGTTTAGAGCATCAGTTGGTGGAAAAAGGTTTGCGGTAACTCTCTTTAAGCGGTTTGTCAAGTTAAGACCACTAAATATGCAATGGTCCGATCCTTTCTACCTCAGTATCTTTGAATGAGTATGTCTGCTTTAAAAGCCAACCGTTGAGCATAAATACAGCGGTGATGCAACATGATATGAAAACAATTGTGGTGGGTAGTAGCCATAAAAGAAAGGGTGGAAAAGGTCACGAATCACAGTGCAGGAGCTGGCCCATCATGAGCAGCATCGAAGGAAAACCAATTTCTGCTTTCAAATTTGGGTTTGAAGTCTCTGAATTTCTCCAGGAATGCAGCCACTTCATCTATGATGAGGTATCAAGAAGAACAGATCATGATGAAGACACTAAAAAGTTCGACTAAAAGTTTCTGTCATGGTTGGCCGCTCAAAGCGCGCACCTAATGTTTGAAAGCGACGGTCGAGTTCTGATGAACGCTAAGCTTTTATAGTCGAGGGTGAATCCGATAGACCAGTTCAAGTCACTTTTGCTGACTACTGCACTATGAATTTTCTTCAGAACGTTTTTTAATGGTTCAAAATCAGTCTGCAAACGTTTCCAAGCTTACAGCCGACAGTCTTGATAAAGTTTGAATTAAACAAAGGCTGTAATCTGTTTCGGCCAATCATTTTGATGCATTTAAATAAAATAGCAGGGTGTGGTGTCAAAATTTCACTTATTTTGATCTTCTTTTTTCCTTCTTTCTTATGTATTATATCATTCATTAATTTTTCATTCTAAAAATTGCACTAATCCAAGGGGCTTTTGTTCGTCTGAAAAATCTATTCGGGTTTACTTAAACGCTTCTTTAAACAAACTTCAATGTAAGGTCATGTGATTACCCATACAAACTGTAATTCAGTAAGTACATTTTGCTCAATTAAAAACTATTTTCTTGTTCTCCCAATATAGGCGGTTGAACGGCAATCAGCTAGAAAAGCTATCACGCGAAATATTTCTTGAATTGTCTGCCTTGGAAGAATTGTAAGTAAAATTTTTTTTAAAAATTTTTTTAAAATATCATTATTCAGTACATTGCGTTTGTATGAGACCAACTGTTATCGACTAGTTCAAAACATTGCACTGATTTATTGACTATATCTATCAAGCTTCGCAAATTTGAAAAAAAAAATCCCTGAACATCTAATGATGATGACTGGTCACTTTTCAGCGGTAAAAGTGGATTCTGTCAATTATCAGGGAGTGGACTTGCCCCGATTGTACTCGTTGGAAAGTTGCTCATCGGACCGCTAAAAAATTCTGAAAAAATTGCTAAAAAAATTTAAAAAGGTTACCAACTGAATTTTAAAAGTTGCCACCTTAATTTCTCGATACTCCTCTTCTATAAACGTTCATTGAAAGCTTTATTTTTCATTCTTCACAATAAATGCTAACATAGATCAAGAAAAATAGCTTGAAACTTAGCTTTAAAGAGTTACTTGCAAATGTGGGCCCGATTTATATAAACTCTTACGTTTAAAGGAACAAAACACATGGTTCATTAGACGCTTTGCCGAACGATATGAAGGAAATTGAATGAAATTAGCTCTACTGATTGCATTCTCAGAGTCTAAACCATAAAACTCTTAAAGTTTTCAATGAAATCGTTTATTTTTTCGTGCTTCATAAGAAACACTTTTCATAAAAAAAAAACTGTTCAGAAAGGCACGAATTATTGCTCCTAACCTCAAAAGGTGCGCAAAAGTTGCCAAGCGCAATCGGGACAGGTCTATCGGGGATTACAAAGCCGATTAAATGACTAGCTTGCTGTGGTGGGGGTGGGGGAGGGGGGGAGAAGGAAGTGCAGAGGGACTCAATCAAAAATTTGTGAGCCACTTATTTTAAACGTTGTCTAGAAATTTAAACATCAAGCATCATTACCACCAGTGCCTTTGTTTGGAAGCCTGGCATATCGACTCCACCCACGCTCGTTTAAATCGTGATGATGGTGGCTTACTACCAGACGCCTATTTACACCTCGTAAGAAAAAAGGGCAGCTAATTAGTTAGCATAGTATAAAAGGACCTCTTATTGCAGCGATTAGATCGCCCCTAATGAAGGCACTAGACAGGAGTGTCGAAGCGTTGGGTCTATGAAATGTTACTTCTCGGCTACATTCATGAAATCTACCAGAGTAGCATCAAACCATGAAAGTGTTGAAAAAATTTTTGTTGGACGAGAAACACAGTAATTTTCGTTGGAAAGGTCGAAGTCGAAACTCATATCAAGATCATTTTCCCGATACGGTTCAAATAAAGTCGATGTCCATATAATGGGTATAACATCTATTCATAGCACTTAAAACTTATTTTAGTTAAGGACATTTGTCCCATTACTTTAAAATGTTTGTTAACTGCAACTTTTGACTTGTTCTATTCACCTCACTCCCCGCTTATGTTATTGTCAGGGACTTGTCCTACAATCAGTTGCAGTTTTTGCCTCGAGGGCTACTTAGCAACAACACCAACCTGACAGAACTGTAAGTAAAACTGGTTGTGAAACAAAAAAGAAAGCAAAGTTTAAGGTAAAATATAGATAATTAATAAGGGTAGCCTTTAAACACTTAAAAAGTTTGCTTATCTCTGCTTCGACGTGATCCGCTATCGGATGAATTGATTCAATGAGTAGTGTTATTTGGTTTTGGATCTCAGAATACGTTCGGTGGGCCTACTATTAATTATTGTCTCAAACGAAACGTTTAACGGTTTACTACATGGAGCTATTTTTCACTGAGTGAATCTGCTGCATATTGGTTATTCCTGGCCATTGTTTGTGGTGTCAGGGGTTTTGCAAATGTCTCCATTCGCCTAATTTAAATCTAAAAACACGTTGCGGTGTATAACTGGTTGGCTCGTTTGGCTCCTGTTTAGCTCATACCAGAATACTTAAGTAGCGGGCTTTCAGCCCATTTTTAAAGTAGGATTTAAGTTCTTGAATTGTTATTTAGTTTACTGTTATCTGAATAAACACTTTAAGGAATTTGTCACACAACAAAATTCAGCGTCTACCCATGGATGTTTTTGGCAACCTCACTAAGATGAAAAGACTGTAAGTGGCAATCAGCCCTAAGCGGCAAAGGGAATTATAATGTATAGTTTTTCATAGAGCTTAAAGTAAACTTATGCAGTATAGTAATAATAACAATACTTTAGCAGGGATCCCCACTTCACCAAAAGGTGCTCTTCAGTGGGGCCCTGCATTATGACCATTCTGAAAACAGAGCTGCGCGAACTTAGATTTTGTGATTATTTCAAGATGCGTACTGGCTTTATATAATGCTAACTTTTGTGGAATTGATCTTCAAGAACAATTGAAAGAAAGAGGTCAATATTAAATTCAATTGTCTCACACAGCCTTTATTTTCACGTGACTTGTGGCTATCATTTTTTTTTCGCTGAGTAACCAAGGAACTCTGTTAAGATTGATTTGTGATGTACGTGACATAATATAGTTTGGTGCATCAGTACTGAAAAGTGATGTCATGATATGAAAACGCCCATGTTAACAATGAACGTGCAAATGGTATCTTTTACCTAAATTCTCAGTACCAGAAGTAAACAGTTTATGTACTCAGCAAAAATGTGTCAAGTTTTATAATTCCACAAAATAGCTTTGCCAGAACCAATTGGGTTTTGTTTCAATAAAGTTTAAGTCCTCCCTATTCGGGGAGAACAAGAACTTTTCCAAGAATCTCAAATTCTATTTTAACTGACTTCTTTTTCATTCTATATATTACTTTAGCTTTCTCTCCAGTAACAAACTTCAGCGCTTGCCAAGGTTCAAAAATCTCTCCAAGTTGGAAATATTGTAAGTGATTCACATTTGTAATGTAACTGGTTCAGTAAGTGTCTTGCTAATGAGCATTAATTAAAGGTAGCGTTGGCCACGTACGGACTCTCTCTATGGCATCTTCTAATGACATAAAAGTTTATTTAAGGATGTTAATTGAGTAAGTTAAAAGTTAAAAATATGCATCCACTTTGGAAAGAGATGCCATCAACTAAGAATTACCAAGAGTCAAATTTTTAAGGTGATAGAACAAAATATAACACAACACATCCTGTACAATACATTAATAACACCCTTCCCTTACGTTAGAAATGATCGCTGATTGATGATTAACCTAAATCAAATTTCAATGATAAATTGTTATTTTTCTGAAAAAATTGTTTACCGGCTATTAAAACGTTTTCGTCAATATTGAGATAATTTGGGATTTAAATGAAAATATAGGATCCATGGATTCCAGTTTTTAACAAACATTTTTCTGTAAGCTTTTCGACATGTTCCAGAAAAGGGTTGTTTCAATTAAAAGCATAGAATTCCGGGTGGTGCGATTACAAATGCGCGCTTTAACTTGATTGCAAAAGTAAATGGGCACATGTCCGATCATTCATTTAAATTTCACAATAGCGTTACCAAGGTTTAACCATTGTTTTCATGGTGGCCAGCATAGTTCTTTCGGTGAAGGCGTAATATGATGGGACTTAATTGTTTCTGTCGCAGTGCACGCAGCAACGGTTTGGTCCAAATACACTTATGGGACGTTTTTTCAAGAAGTGTTGGAGCACACTGATTAGCACTAAAACAGTTTGCCAAATACCAAGGCACTAATACACTTATGAAGAAGGT